TTGTTGATCCTTTAACATACCATAATATTGTTAATTGTCTTGAGTCTAATATGTGGGTAGGTGCCATGAAAGATAAAATGCATATATCTTAAGATCAGTGAGAGCAAATTTATTTATTTTTTATTCTTTATGTTGATGATATTTTGCTTGCAAGTAATGATTTGAGCTTACTTCATGAGATTATTGTACAAAATATTTGACATGAAAGATCTAGGGGAAACATCTTTTGTGTTAGGCATTAAGATTCATTGGAATAGAGGTCGTGGATTGGTGGGACTTTCTCAAATGACATTTATAGATCGTGTGCTTGAAAGATTTAATATGCATAATTATAAGTTTGGGAATATACCTATTGTGAAAGGTAATAAATTCAGTTTAAGTCAATGTCTCAATAATAATCTTGAGGAGGAATCTATGAAAAATATACATTATGTGAGTGATATTGACAGTTTAATGTATGCACATGTTTGTACTAAGCCTGACATTACTTTTTCAGTTAGTGTTCTTGATAGATATCTTTCCAAATCAAGATTAAATTTTTGGTGGTAGCTAAAAAAGTTATGAGATACTTGCAAAGAATAAAACAAATTACATGCTTGTTTATAGGAGAGTTAATAGTCTTGAGGTGATTGGTTACTCAGATTTAGATTTTGCTGGGTGTCCAGATTCTTTAAAATCCACTTCGGGATATTTGTTCATATTAACTGGAGGAACAATAACATGAAAGAGTGTTAAACAAACTCTCATAGTTTCTTTCACTATGCAAGCTGAATTTGTAGCTTATTATAAAGCTGTAATACAAGTAATATGGCTAAGAAATTTTATTTTAGGACTTATGATTATTGATTTCATCTCTAGACTACTAACAATTTATTGTAATAATAGTGTAGTTGTGTTCTTCCCAAAGAATAACAAAAATTCTAGTGGGTCTAAGCATATAGAAATTAAATATCTTTTTGTTAAAAATCTTGTAGAAAAAGGTGATATTGTGATTGAATATATTAAAACAGAATCAATGTTTGCAGATCCTTTAACCAAGAAACTAAAACCTATAACTTTTAAGAAACATGTTGACAACATGGATATCTTGGAGTCTTTTGATGTACTTGATTAGTGAGGGTTTAATTATGTGTTAAGAACTTCCATATTGATTTAATTTCATATGTGATATTTGCAACTTATTATGGTTGAGATCATCTATTTGATGATATTTAGATGATCATCTGTATTGTTAGCATGATATTCTTACTATGTTGTATGTGTGCACATTTATGACATGTCAATTTATTCAAAATTTTAAGATTTGACATATGTCTTAAGTATGATTGTTTTGTTAATTGAGTATGTATCTGATAACACTATTTGAGAAAATCTTGAGATTTTAAGTTTAGAGACAGAGCGTATGTATCGAATATTAAAAAAAAAATTTTAAAACCCTACAAGGCCGAATTAGGATTTATCTTCGAAATCTCTCGGGACTGATCTCGTCTCAGCACGAATGCGGAATAGAACAACGATTATAACTCGACGAACCTGGCGGCCTTCTATCATATATCCCCCAACGTTAGAATCCATATGCAGTGTGGGCTACCAAAATCTCTGAATTCTTGCTCTCTCTTTCAGTCTCTCTAAAAATGTGAGTAAAGAATAGATGCTGAAATAGAGAACCTATATGTCTATATATAGGCTATGACAGAGACCCTAAGGAGAAATAAGGACCGGGCTCCCAATGGATTTATGATTCCTATGTTCAATTTAGAGCAAACATCCTACAACCCATTAATAATAAGTCAATCTATTTAAACTTATTATTGATCTCCTATGCCTTCTCTCAAATTTATATTCGAGTTCTTTACTATTATATGTTTAATAATCTCCCCATGTTTAAAATTACAGATGTCTATCAATTAAATAAATCAGTGATAATTATATTTAATTGACTTCTTTTATTCCTTGAGACTTTACCCCTCAACTTATTTGTCATGTCAAATAATTAAATTCACCTGCAGAGTTTGACATGGACAAAAATTAAGGGTTTCCTCAAGAGGACATCATCAACCTATTTAAATACTAGAACATAGTTTCCTTTAATATTTAATTTCTACCATACAAATAACATCGTCTCCCAATTCATTGAGCTTATTGACCAAATATGAATCTCACTCTTTGATGAATTAAAATAACAAACATTATATGCACGTGTTAATTAAATATTTAGGGATTAAGAACATAAACAATCATAATAATCATGAGGTATTTATTATCTTATTAAATCAGTAAAAGATAATAACCTCAACACCGGAATATTCAATACACAAAGTGTACTAGTGCAATAATCTGAGATATCAAACAATTTCTTACAGTCAAGATAAACTATACCAAAATATTACACTACAATCATACTGATGACGTATCCAATTTCATCTACGATTGTGAACATATACTCATATTATATAAGGATCCAATAGTCTGGTCTTCTGTGCATAAGTCGAATTCTATACACCAGATTATCTACAATGTAAAATATAAAACATACATGCATATCATATATAAAATGTAATACAAATATTTTGCCCATACAGATTTTTAATAAAATGAAAAGAACAAACTTTTATTAAATAATAAAATGAGTTTCACTACAAAAAGTAAACTTTAGTATACTATTCTATCAGTTTAATTATGTGTTAAAAACTATTGTATTGATTTAATTTCATATGCGATATTTGTTACTCATTATGGTTGAGATGCATATATTTGATGATATTTGAATGATTATCCTTATTATTAGCACGATATTATTGCTATGTTGTATGTGTGCACATTTATGACATGTCATTTTATTCAAATTTTTAAGACTTGGTGTATGTCTTAAGTATGATTATTTTATCAATTGAGTATATCTCTGATTACACTATTGGAGAAAATCTTGAGATTTTAAGTTTAGAGACATACTAACTTATTGTTGAAGTTAATGGATATCTTTAACTTATTGTTGAAGCATATTGTTAAAGAGAAATTATTTGGAGGACTGACAATGAAAATAACATGTTTATCAGATCACATATTGAGATGTTATTTTCTTGCTACGCTAGCACATCTTGATCTATGTCAATAGAATTATTATTTTTTGTAATCATGGATTGGTCTTATGTCAATAAAGGATATAAATACCGCCATGGTTTGAAAATACTAATTTTATTGGACCAGGTTGTATTTGAGATGTTGTCTCAAGACCATATTTTTATTGTGACCACATTAATTTTTTGTTTGATTAGCCCGAGAGTCATTTTTTAAAAATATATATAATTTTATTTTATTTTTTAAATGACTACAATTAATATTGCCCAAAAGTGGGAGAATGCTAGAATTTTTTTTTATATTGGACTTCCATTAATGGATAATTAATTTTTAGTTTGTAAAAAATGGGCTGAATTTATGGTCCAATGAGATGAGCTCAATATTATTAAGTGATCTATTTTCATAGGCTTATTTACATCTTTTTAATTGATGTGGTTGATGCGGTTAAGTGTAGACTTTAATCTAATTGTGACTCATAATAAGAGGGCCCATTAGATTAATTATAAATAGCAAGCTAGGTCATCTCTTTACTTCATAGCCTAATTTGACTTGTTTCACTGAGAGTTGTCTATTGTTTTGAAGAATGAGAGCAAGATCTTGCCATTCCGCGAAAAAAACCCAGAGATTGAGTATCATGGTTCATACATGTATGTTCTAGACCTTGTAATTTAAGTGTTCTAAATTTCATATACGAATCATTAAAATTCTTACACTTTTTTGTAATGTTAGTTATATTTTTGGTATTTGTTGTATATCTTGTTATATATGCATTCTGAGCTAGCATGGGCTTCACCATCAACCCCTCTTTAGTGCCCTCATGATTCAAGATTGATGGTGACCTTAAGGTTTACCTATTCTATGTATGTAAGAATATATTCACCAGTTGATCTCTCCCTCTCATACATACATATCTAATGACTAAAATTTTACACTTGTATGGTAAAAACACTATTATTTTTTGTTATATATTAAGAGAGATGGAAGTTTAAGTCTAATGTTTTCTTCACTCAATTAAAACCCTTACAATAAAAAAAAATCACTTGGTCTCGGTGTTTCTCTCTCTCTCATTATTGCTAATCTATTTAAGTTCTTGACAATATTGGACGACCTTAAGTTAACTTCAAATAGTATCCGTCCATTTTCAAATGCTGGTATTATTTTTCAACTTCCACCCCTCTCTCTCTCTCTCACACATACACATACCCACCGGACACAGGCAGGAGCATCATTTGTACTTTACTGTAAAATAAACCACCTACAAACAATTTCTTCTCTCTCTCACACACACATGCACATGCACGTTAATTAATTTTTTTTTTGGTCTAAGTCAAAAATTAGTTATTTATTCTGAAATTAAGATATTAATAAAGAATAAATTTCTCGTGATCAACTTCAAAGAAATTGTCAAGATTCACCGAAATATATGGCTTTCATATCATCAGTGAAAAAGAGAGAGAAAGGGGGAAAAGAAAAAGATTGTTCAAAACATAGAGATTGGTAACCACGATAAATTGGGTTTATCTTCACATTATTATATAGCTGATCACATAATTTCCATAAACCTCACAGACTCTACTCTTTACATAGAACATACCAAATAAAAACTAGAAAGAAAACAACAACGTGACTCATCAACTTACTGAAAATAATCTTGGGAGAACATGATTTGTATATAACCAACACTAAAACTTAAAGAAAACAGGATTCTGGTGTAGAGAGAAATCAATACAAGCAAAGCCTACTACCATGAACTTTTCTCCAATACAAACTCTATATACAGCATACCTTCTCTCTCATAACTCATGATCTTATTACAAACACAACTATACCCATCTCCTATCTGTTTATAAAAGAGTATGATTGTTCCTTCGAAAAAGGAAAGTGTGTGTATAAAACGAGTATAAATTGAGGAAGAACTTTCTCTACCCAACTAACTTCCTTGGTTTTGAAGCTGTGATCTTTATGACAAGCCCAGGGAAAACATCATCTGGGTCATGGATATGTGGGTTCTGCTCAACTATATACGGGTCGCCGCACTTGTCGCTGATGGTATGGAGGGTTTCACCTTCTCCGACAACATATATTTCATCACAAGGCCTGTCCAAAAGCTGGTTTCCTCTCACAGGTTCATCTGTGAGAGAAATCTCTCTGACAGAAACCAATAAGATTAGAGCCAGTATTGCAAAAGAACAATACCATGAAGCTGCATCAGTTATGGATTTTGATAATTTCATGGACTGGTATGTTTTAGAAGAAGCCATGCTCGAGAGAGAGAGAGAGAGGCAGAGGAGAAAAGAAGGGTTATGATAATCTTGATGGAATACGGAGGTTATATATATGGAAATTAGAAAGTTGTGTTTGGTTGTGAGAGAGAGAGAGAGAGCGAGAGAGAAAGAGAGCGAGAGAGAGAGATGGGCAGGTGTAATGGAAGTCCTTTGGGCGTATGTGGCGGGGGGCGACTTTGGTTCGACACACGGCAACGTGGAATTTGGCTCCAAGGTCTTGTCAGCCTTTATTTGTTTCTTACTTGAATGACCTTCCTTCTCACAAATTGACCAAAAGAGACTCCTTTCTTTGTGGAATATCATTTTAGAACCTCAAGTCTTTTTGAAATTCATTAGGTTGAAAATGGTGTTACCTCATGAAAAAGAAATGCTAATTCATAATAAACAAAAGGAAAAGATTATATTGGCTCTTGGGAGTTATTTATTACATGTTACCATGACATAGAAAATAGATACCATGAGAATTAATACAAAGCAGAGGTAACGGGTAGAGAGAAATTATCATTTTCAGATAAAAAAAAATTGTTACAGTTTTTTTTTTGTGTTTAATGGTCAAGGGTTTCTGAACTATGTTATGTACATTTTGACTAATTTTCTCCCAAGTCCAATCAAAGATAGGCCATTAATCAAAACATTAATGGACTATAATTATTAATTAAGGATTAAAATCTGGTGCGACCCATGGCAAGTTATCGTAAAAGTGATAATTTAGTTTAAAAAAATTATAACTCGAACATTAAAAATTGTAGCATAATCCAAAAATTGTAAAATTTTTAGTTATAAACAAACACAAAAACCTTACATTAAACTCCACAAAATTTGAAGGTACGGTCCCGAAATTAATCTTCTCCATCTTTTTAACAGCATTCTCACACAATCTTGCCTTAACAGCACCCTAACAAACTCCAACCAACCAATGTTAGATGTAACCTCCCTCAAAATGACCTTGTGAACATCAAGAAGATGAGGTCTACAACGGCTTATCTTAAAAACCTACGTACGTACCTAACCAGAGACAATAATGTATTTTTTATGAATATTACTAATCATATATTTCCCTGTCAACAAAATAATATATATCTCAGGAAAAGTTGACTAATCCATATTTTAATTAATGTAGGGTTTTGGTACCTGCTTGATGAGCTTTTTAAGAGACAACAAACCTCATATACCATTTTGTTATTTAAAAAAGAGACGTGGTCGATATATATAGGAATATTTTTAAATCTCACCCCATACCGGATTTAATAATCTTGTTTTTTCAGAGAAAATTATACTTTGTATCATTTGATCTTTTGGAGCAGTTGTTTGAGCTCTTTCAAAATTCAAGTACTACCTCGAAATAGTCAAAGTACCAAGTTAAAAACTGGGTTTGTTTGACTTGCATACAAACCAAACCTAACCTACTGAACCTTACCTATTCAACACAAACATACAAATTTCTTCCCTACCCTCAAGGGGGTGGAGGCTAAACTAAATGGAAAAAGCTATAGAACAGTGACTCGTTTTGATCTTTGAGAAAGAGTCCCAATCGTAGCCCAGAATTGGATTATTGATCCTGCAGCAGGCAAACCAAGTTACAGAAGCAATAGCCTTGCAGTTTCTACTGTCTAGCTAGTAGTCTTTTGTTTTTTTATTGGTAAAAATGATTTTATTGATAAATTTTTTTATATATACAATACAATTTAAGACATGAACAAAAGGTTTTCAATCCATAGAGTTACTTAGGATTCAAAGAAATCTAATCTAGAAAGAATAATCCTGTCTTAGGGTGGGTTGTAACATCAGACACATTTATTTCGTAGCATATGAAAATTCTTTTCATCACATCTTAGGGTGGGTTGACATTCTTTAACCCTGTTCTATAACCTTACACGAGATAAAATTATTATATATGAGTTTAATTTTAACTCATTGGAGTTATAATTGACTAAGTCACTCAAAATATATACATGACATGACTCCAACTAAATAAGATTTATAAATATTGAAACAAACCCATCATACACGATTATAAATTGAATTAATTCAGCACGACACGATGTAAACACATCATAAACAGATCACCACAGATCCATTATGAACCTATCGCAGGTTGTGTCATTTCATGCATGCATTATCTAACCCTATTCATTGTGAAAGGATCTCTCATTCAATAAGGAATGATATTAACTTTATATTTTGGCTCAAAATATAACCATTTTCTCGATGTTAAAGTGGATGTGATACACTTCTATACCATCGTGCCGTAGTTATGTTCCAACTTAATTTTATGGAAGTCATAATCAGCATATGCCTTTTATATAATTCAACCTAAGCCATCAAATTTGCTAATCTGAAGGGATGAGAATCAAAATAAAGGTCCACCCCCACCACCAACCATGTCACAGACCATCAGGCATTGGAAATGACTCATCCATCAATTGGTATCTTCAATTTGATCTCTTCCTCAAGCTGTACAGCCCCTACACCACAATTTAATAATCTTTGTGCTGATATGATCACCATTAAATAATAGAGTATTGATATGTAATATGCATCTGACTGACGTGGTTTTTTAGACGTGTCACCTTTGCAGAGTTGCGTGACATATTTGGACTTCTGTCTTTGTGTTCTTCAACGAAAGCTCTTATTGTGACCAAAAAAAAAAAAAAACGAAAGCTCTTTCTACTGTTTTTTAATTAGTTTGATTCAATCATAATCTATAATCGTAAGCTGTTCTTTTTTTCTTTTTTTAGTATCTAATTTAACGTTATGTTGTTTTATTTTCCCTCGACATGGAATACAAAATAACCACCTCCTCCTCCCGCTTAACAAATAAAAAAAAACAGCAATCGGGAAATAGTATTATCATTTAAATTTAAAATTTTGACTTTATCCAGAATATCTCTCATCTTCAGAAATAGTTATAGAACACTATCCATCAGTTAAAAAAATTTAAGGCGAATGGGATTGGTGAGATATCTTTAAAAAAATATTATTTATATTTAACTTAAGGACTTCATCAATCATAATTATTCAATTAAAAATAAGTTTTATTTAATTTTAAAACTTACAACTAATTTAATAGGTATAATGAATAAATCTCTCAATCAATTAGGTCCCCAAATTAAATTTCATTTGCGAAATTAATTGAAAAAACCTTGTTTTTGCAATTTAAAAGGTAAAAATTAGCAAATAAGGAATAACTGAGAATAACTAGAGTCTTCTGCAGCCATTATCTTAGTTTGATGATAAGACATTGGGATGATATTCAAACAACCAAGCATTCAAGTTTTAGCCCATTTTAATAATACCAAGACTAAAAAAAACAGCAGTAGCAGCTGAGAAGTTCTCAGAATCCCAAGACCATTCATATCATTTTACACAAGAAACTGGATTTAAAATCTGAAACAAAAATGAGTTCTATGAGAGTCCATTCTTCCTTTAATTCAAGCTCATACAAGAGAACTTTTTCTGAATACTTGAGCCATCAGCTTTTTTCCGAGACTTTATATATAATCCCATCTCCTTTTCACTTCCCGAAAGAATTCGATTTCAAGTGTTTAGGCGTCTATCTTACCATTCTATCTTTTGGGGGATCTGGGTGTGGGTGGGAAAGAAAGAAAGAAAATTTTATTTTTCGCCTTGTTCCAACATTTTTGGGGTCGGGTTCTGTTCTTTATAGGCTACTATCTTAAGAGTTTCCTAGGCTTTGAAGGAGTGATCTTTATGAAAAGTCCTGGGAAAACATCATCTGGATCATGGATATGTGGGTTTCGCTCTACAATATAGGGGTCGTCGCACTTGTCACTGATGGTGTGGAGGGTTTCGCCTTCTCCGACAACATATATTTCATCACAAGGTCTCTCCGAGAGTTGGCTTCCTCGCACAGACTCATTCGTTAGAAAATTTCCTTTCAAAGAAGAGCCCAATAACATAAAGGCGACTAGAACAATAGCATAGTACCTTGAAGCTGCATCAACTCTGGCCGCCACTGATGCTTTTATGGATTTTGGTTTGGAAGGAGACGCCATGAGAAAGAGAGAGAGAGAGAGAGAGAGAGAGAGAGGTGGTATATACTGATGATGTAAATGGATTACAGTATTTATACCGTATATATAGAGATGTTAGTCCGACGAGAGAGAGAGGAAGAGTAGACTTTTGGCCATATTAATGGGTTACGGCCACTGTGGACAATGTGAGAGTATTATATATTTCTTCACACCATTATATTTTCAGAAAAGAGACCCCAGATAAATTAACAAAAATAAATAATGGCATTTATTATTGGACTTATCACAGCTTGTAATGAAGATATGGAGAAGAACCACGAACAATTGATAACTGTATGGAGGCGTGAACGCAAGGTAATTGCTTTTGTCCAAAAGTCAGAAATCAACCCAAAAAGTCAACCAACTCGGCAACTTTAATATTAGGATGAAAACATTTTAATTAACTGATTATCTAGACCCACTGTAGAGGCAAAAAGTGGGAGATTGATGGTGAATTTGTGATGTGATTTCTGAAAAAGAATATTGAATAATTTTCAAAAAATTTTTTTGTAAAATGAACAAATTGTTCAAGATCAAAGTACTTCGATCGAAGATATTCCGATACTTAAGTCAGTAATGGAACAGAGAGAATTGCACCAAGATAAAGAGAATTCAGTGTACCTTTTACCTTAGTCTCTTGTGTTTTTTATAGATCATTATCCCCTTAGGGTTTCCTCGATTTTAGGTTTAAGGTGGCACACCTTCCTTTAATTCAGCGGTTGAGTTTGGGAAGTTACTGATACTTCTCCTACAATTTCTCTTCATATCTTTAATCTCATCGATTTTGTTTATCTGATTGCCTAGATTTTAAGTGAATATTTAACTTTCCATCTATCGTTTTAAACAGCTCGGACATATCGAACGCTGAGCACACTTGACATTTTCCGAACAGATTAAGAAGCTTAGTTTGGTATAAACTAATTTCTTCAATTGTTTTGCCGAGCACTTTGACGGACTCGGCTTGATACAAGCCGAGCTCTTACCCTACTTAGCTGAACGAGCTGATGAGTTCGGCTCGATTAGAAAGCTCTTAGTGGAAGATCCTTCATCACGTGACTGGTCTTATCAACATCACGTGAGCACATTTAATGTTATATCACGTGTAATCATGAGGTTTAACCCCTTCATTTGTCCACAGAAAATGCCTGACACACGTTTTTCAGCTGTCAGCCGTTTTCTCATCNTATCACGTGTAATCATGAGGTTTAACCCCTTCATTTGTCCACAGAAAATGCCTGACACACGTTTTTCAGCTGTCAGCCGTTTTCTCATCGATTCATCATCACTTGTACTTTGTAACCTGTTTTTTCGTTTTGGCGGCATATTCAGAGCTTTTAAATGTTGCCTTTTAAAATTTCTTCTTCTCTATAACTGTCTTCCTTCGCATTTTTGTTTTTCTGCTGCCAGATTTTCAGATTCTCATCCTCTTCTTTCTGTGTTCTTACTTCATCTGCACTTCATCTTCTNGAGAATGGCCATGGGCTCGCCAATGGGAGCAATTCATTGGATAATTTCCTCGAGATTGGTGAGAATCTTTGACATTTCTGACATCGCCTAACAAACTTATCAGCGTCCTTCTGCATATATGGCCACCANCTCTGCTTTCAAAGCCAAATATAACATTCTAGACGACGTCGAGATTAGAGTCGCTGGAAAAGATGAGTCATTGATTGGCACAAGGGAATCAATCCCCATCCCAACTCGTGCCATAACTGAGGGTGAGATTCGTTTTCCTCTCGACCCTCTTCTTATTCATTTTTCGGATCGTTATGGGGGTATCTTCTCTGAACAAGGTTTTGGGCCTAAGTCTTGGATTGTGGGAGATCTTATACTGCTACATCATTAAGGCCACCAGAGATAGCTACTATCTATCGGTGAGAAAAAAGGAGAGGTATTTGGTAACCCACCTTCCAGATTCAAACAAGGGACATGAAAATGATGTGGTGTTTGTCTTTGACAATTGGGAATACGCTCCTGGTGTCACTCCATCTTATCATTGCCCTTACGAAGAAGGCATGTCAAGTACTTAATAGCCTTTATTTTCTGTTATAACTTTGATTCTCAGTTTTCCTGATTTTTGGGTCTTTTTCTGCACAGGTGAAACTGTGAAGGGAATGATTGTTGAATCCTCAGTAAGGATGGATCAACTCCATAAAGTTTGGAATTTTAACGAGTCGTTGTTCTACCNGCGAATGGCCATGGGCTCGCCAATGGGAGCAATTCATTGGATAATTTCCTCAAGATTGGTGAGAATCTTTGACATTTCTGACATCGCCTAACAAACTTATCAGCGTCCTTCTGCATATATGGCCACCAGAAACCTTGGAAAATGGCTCAGTGAGCTAGTGATCTACCTCTTGTGTGAGCTCCACAGCATCCTTCGTGTATTTCGACAAGAAAGTTAACAACTACTGTAGGGTGCACACACTTTAAATATGGACCCCCAAATGAGTGTCGATACAACTCGTCTTTTGGGGATAACCAAAATCTGGCAGCTTTAAGGCGTAGCTTGTGAGCTTCCTTATTGTCTTCGAGCAAGATACCATACTTTAAGAACCCAACTATTGGATCCATCCAGCTCGGCTCGGATACATTGCATAAAATTTCATCTGACTAGGACTGGAGAATACTGGGCTCGGATTGGAACTCAATAGTCAGCGACCTTGTTGGGTTCTGCTCAATTGTCGAGGCCAATGAGACTAAAGCATCGACATGTGAGTTTTTTGGTCTCCCAATCTGTTGTATTGAATATTCTGGTATTTTGCTCAATTCCTTCTTGGCAACGGCTTGATATACTACCATTCTTTCATCATTAGCCTCATACTCCCATATTATCTGATTCNTTTGACAATTGGGAATACGCTCCTGGTGTCACTCCATCTTATCATTGCCCTTACGAAGAAGGCATGTCAAGTACTTAATAGCCTTTATTTTCTGTTATAACTTTGATTCTCAGTTTTCCTGATTTTTGGGTCTTTTTCTGCACAGGTGAAACTGTGAAGGGAATGATTGTTGAATCCTCAGTAAGGATGGATCAACTCCATAAAGTTTGGAATTTTAACGAGTCGTTGTTCTACCGAGCCGCACACACTCTGCTCGGATACACTCCTACATACACATCATTTATTGTCGTGTCGAACCGACCTAACGCCACTTTGGCAGCAGATAAGGAAGCGATCCAGGTAGCTCGGTCTTAGACTCCACGTGCCAAGAAGAAGTTTTCCCTTGCAGCTTCTAGGCGTAGGACGGTGAATAACTTCCTTGATTTCCTGTCAACCGTTGAACCGACCTCTCTAACCGAGCCGACTCCAGCTACTTCCATGATTCCAATTGCTATTCTTGACGAATCAACTCCTGAGGTCCTTCCCGAGGTGGTTCGTTCTGAAGTCGATGATACAGGCCCGCCTTTGAATGATCAAGTTGATTTGCCTTTGGCAACTGAAACTTCTGTTCGTGTCGAGATAGATCCTCCAGAACTTGTTCATTCCCCTTTTTAGGAAGATGACTCAGTTTTTGAGCTTGCTGATGATCCAGCTCCAAAGAAAAGAAAGATCTCAGAAACTGAGGCAAGTCTCTCCCCTAGTCACGTGAATCATCCTTTTAGACCTATCCTCAAAGCCAAAAGAAGAGAAATTACTGCAAAGGATTTTGCGATAGAGGATTTCAACGTTGCAGTTGGAATTGCTCGGGGGGTGATCCAGTCTCGTGACTTGGCAATGAACGAGGCCCTTACTGATGAGGAGGTGTCTCGCCAGGCTATTCAACATATAATTTTGGTAGGTCTTGATTCTGACTTCTCTTAGGCTTTTTTCCCTTGAAATTTTTTTTCTAAGTCTTTTCTTTCCTTGCCTCTTTAAGGGTTTGCAAAAAGTCCATGAGGTCGGAGCTCGGATAGCTCGAAAGGACAAGGCAATGAAAGACGTCATCCATGCCCGAGCTTCGGCTCTGGCTAAGAAGGAGAGTATGGATGAAGAATATGCCTAACTCTGTGAAGAAGTGAAGGTTCTGCAGGCTCAAAATCAAAGTCTAATAGAAGAGAACCAGAAGCTTCAAGTAGAGGTGAAGGAGCTGAAAGAATCCGAGCATGAAGTCAATGTGGAGCTCACACAATCTCAGCTTGACTACTCTACACTTCTTGAGAAATTTGATCAATTTAAGACTAAGGCGACTGAGAAAGAGGATGCCGCATACAATGAAGGTATGGAGAAGGCTGAGGAAGATTTAGCTCGGCAGGTCCCTCAGCTTCAAGAGGCGTTCTTTAGCAGAGGCTAGCAGGTCGCTTTAACTGCTGCCGAGGTCGATCCTTCCTCCAAACTATTTTCAAAGCATACAGCTTCGAGCTCCTCTCATACTTCTGCTCCTTTAGACACCTAGCAGCCTTTTCAGAACGCTTTAAAATTTCCAATGTATCAATTTTGAAATTTTGAATGTATCTACACCTTCTAATGTTTCTGTCAAAGGGTCATGACTTTTGTAAAAAAATTTTGAAGTATTAATGCAAAACACTTTCTGGCCTTTCAATTTATGTAGTTTGTGCTAATATTTTGAGATATCTTTTTTGTTGTCTTGGTCTCTATTCAGCCTTTAAAGGAATCGTTTTACACTTGGAAAAATTTTTGAGCCACTTTGGAGACTTGGCCCTTGCTTGGCCTTTCTCAAAGAGGTCGGTTCCTGAACAGGAACCTTTTTTTTTTTATAGACTTAGAAAATATTTCGAGCCTTTTTGAATTCTTGGCCCTTGCTCGGCCCTCTTCAAAGAGGTCGGTTTCTCAATAGGAACCATTTTATGCTTAGAAAATATTTTGAGTATCTTTGAAATCTTGGCTCTTGCTCGGCCCTTTTCAAAGAGGTAGATTCTTTAGTAGAGTGACTATTCTTCAGTAGAGTTTCTTAGTGCTCTTGAGATCTAAGAATGTTTCTACTCTACACCGACCCGCCAATCTGATTGGACTCAAACTCATCCTTAGTTAGCTTACATCGTC